TGGTGGAAGTTCAAAGCAGCTTCAGCACTTTTCTGAGAATCAGCACTGATCACAGGTTTGGAAAGTTCAAGAGCGATGCCATAAAAGCCTGTCTAATGCCCATATCTACTGACAGCTTCATAAGATTGCAGCAACATGCAGGAATGTCCTTTAAATATCCTCAGAAATGTCCTCAAAGGCCAGTCATGATCCTTGTTATCCCTGGTATATTTCATTTCTTCATGACCCAGACAAATATCAAAGCTGCACATCAAAAATACATTTCTGAAAGAGATGTATTCTGAAAGTATACGCAATACTCCTTTTTTTTTTTTTTAATACAGATAAGAAAATGCAGGCTGTGTCCCAAATTGTTTTCTTACACTATTCACTACGCTTTTCGCCAGCAATGAGAAAGTATATTGCTCATTCTCAGGAAATACTGCCATTTGTTTTAATACCAAGCTTTAAGTCATACATTTTACTTTATTAAAATTGTTTTGTGTTTTTGTTTTGTGTTGTGTTTTTGTGTTGTTGTATTTTGTTTTGTGTTGTTTTTGTTTTGTTTTTTTGTGTTGTGTTGTTGTTTTTTGTTGTTTTGTGTTTTTGTGATGTGTTGTTGTTGTTGTTTTTTTGTGTTGTGTTGTGTTGTATTTTGTTTTGTGTTGTTTTTGTTTTGTTTTGTGTTGTTTTTGGTTTTGTTTTGTGTTGTTGTTGTTGTTTTTTTAGTTTTGTTTTGTGTTTTTGTTTTGTGTTGTTGTTTTTTGTTTTGTGTTGTGTTTTATTGATTTGTGTTGTTTTTTGTGTTTTGTTTTGGAATTCCTATTCTCCCATCACAGGCCCAAAGTATGAGAGCTATGAACACTTGATTTGCCATCAACAAATATAGGTTCTTAAAAACTATATTCTATAAAATTCTATAACATTGCTAAATAATTATTTGTTATCACTAATACTAAACCTGAAGTGCTACATTATTTCAACCCTGTCACAGTAAATATGGAATTTAATTTAAATAAATAACTAAATAAATTCTGCCATGCACTTCTGTGTGTTCCATTAAGTAAATTACATACCTGCATTATAATTTAAGAAAAAATATTAATAGAAATGGGCATTTTCTCCCAAGTCTAAACAGGTTTATTACATTGAAAATGCTTAGGCGTTTGTTACGTCCAAGGACGTATTTGTTTTTCCGATTGTTCTCTCCCGGTTTCTCTCTCTCTATCCCTTTTACTTCCTATAAGCAGGAGGTAATGGCTGCCACCTGATTCCAATGATTGGTGATCTGATGTGATTGCAGGAGGAGGGGAAGCCGTGAGGATTTAAGCAGCACCATTGCACAGCGGAAGGTGTGTGTGGAGGCTGCGTCGTGAGGCTTCTATTCTCAACCCAAAAAAAGCTTTATTAGTTGTTTTGGTTAATATTTTGTTGAATGATTTCGTTACAGTGTTATTGTGTTAACACTCTTGTGGTAATTGATGCCTACGACAAGAAATCTGGTTTGTTTTGGAAGTTACTATTTGTTTGCCTTTACTTATGTTACTGTTTGTTATCTATTAAACTTACATTGTTAATTTACTGGGAATGTGTTAGTAGAGAGCTGGGTGCCATTTTCTTTATCTTGTTTTTCTCTTGTTTATGCTAGTTAGGGAGGTAGTTATATCTATTGTATTTTTGTTTTCTTTTCTTTGTATAGCTTAGTTAGTTTCTCCCAAATAGTTAGAGGGTTTATGTTTGTTATTTTGGCCTTGCCCCCTCTTGAAGTTTTGACATCCTCCCATATCTGTCAAATAAAATAACTTGTTTTGATATCGAGATTCTTGGCCTTTGTTAAAGCTCTGGGGTTGGGAATTGAACCTGGCTGCCTCCACACATCACCGTTTTATTCTGTTACCTGTTCCTCTAACCCTAGACTAACTGGGAACGTAAGAGCGTTAAATGTTACAAGGGTTGATAACTAAATGGCCCTGGATTAAAAATTTTATTGCAAAAAAAAAAACACTTTTTAGAGTCAGTAATCTTGTGCTTTGTGACATGAACAATATTTGTATCCATCCAAACTATGAATTTTAAGAAAGCAAATATAAAAGTAATGATATTTTGGTTGCACATTCATCTCTGTACCATTCAAAAGTTTGGGGTTGTTTTTTATGTTAAAAAGTGGTCTTTTCTGCTCACCAAGGCTGCGTTTATTTGATCATTAATACAGTAAACACAGTAAGATTGTGAAATGTTATTACAGTTTAAAGTAGCTGTTTTATGTGAATATATTTTAAACTGTAATTTATAAAACAGTTGTGCTGCCCAATATTTTTGTGGAAACTGTGATAATTTATTTTTTTCCCAGGATTATTTGATGAATTGAAAGCTAAAAAAAACAAACAGCATTTATTTGAAATATAACTTTTTTGTAACACTATAAATGTCTTTACTGTCACTTTTGATCAATTAAATGCATCCCTGCTGATTAAAGGGCACTTATTATGCCCCTTTTACAAGATATAATATTATTCTTATGGCTCTCCTGTGAAATTTCAGCTCAAAATACCATACAGATCATTTATTATAACGTAGGGCTGGGCGATATAGCTAAAAACGATATAATGTTTCATATCGTTTGGTATCTATAATTATTGACATTTTTTATAACCTTTTTTAAAACAAAAAGCAATTTATTTAAACAAAAATGTTTACATTTAACAACTGTATTTATAATTAACACAATTTGAGACAAACAACACATATTTTTTGTTTTAACAATCAAACACAATAAAAATTAAACAAACATTTCATTTCTAATGTTTTATATGCAGATTAAATAGGTCTTTATTGTATAGGTCTAACTGTCTCCCGAGGCCACAGGAGGGCGCAATGAGCAAAATAAGGCAGCACATTTCAATTGTCAATGCAAGGAAGTAACTATAAAAACGTGCATTACGTCTAAATTAACTCATAAAAATCAAATATAATTTCGTAAATTGCATAAACAAATATGAACAAAACAGCATCATGTATTTATGCATTGATTAATCCAAAGACCCGAAGCGCCATTCACACAGACTGCATTTAAAAACATATGAGACGCAGTGAAAACGAATACACCTCCACAAATTTGTTTTAAGTTTGCATGGCTTTCTATACATCTCTTATGTGAGACGCGAGTGCAGCAGTCGTATTTGTCCGTCTAAAAAATGCACTGAATATGCGTTCTGTGTGAATGGCTTGGTTTCGGTTTTAACCCATTCAAGATGTTCTCCGCATTGAGCTTCTATATTTCTCTAATATTTTGAATGAATAACGCAGCAGCGGCGCGTCTCGTGGGCTAGATTAACAAAACATTAAAATGCAACGTCACTTACATCATCACCGCATCTCGCGCGCCACTGATGACGCTCCCTGACGCACTCCTAACATTCAAATGCAAATGTTTATTTTAAATTCGACTAATATTCATTCTTTATTCACAATCTCCTCATCACAGGCAGGCACAGCACTCATTTCAGCATGTGTTCGTGTTTGTGTGTGCTGTCTGCGTCACTCATAGCACGTGCCTATATCATGCGCTATATCGAACATTTTTTCTATCGATACCGAAGGGGTACCGCCGATAAATATCGATACCGTTTTATCGCCCAGGCCTATTATAACGTGTTGAAAAGTACAATTTTTGGGGTGGGTCTAAAAAGTGCTGTTTCAGGGGTGTGTCCCCTTACATGAAAATGAGCTGCAACTTCCCGCCCGACTCCAGAAGGGGGCGGAGCCTAGACGTCTCTGCTCTGCGTATGGCAATAAACAGAGAGGAGAAGCAACATGAGTGAGAGCGAGAGGATCGGTATTCAGCCGTACATGTACGAACCGGACTCAGACCCAGAACAAGGAGAGACTACAGCAGAAGAAACAATAATGCGAATGAACCAGAATGTCTCGTTATGGTAGTTTGAATAATTTATGTACTTGTTTAGTTTTTCACAGCCGCTTTGTAACGATGGATGCGACCCAGCCGATCGCACGCAGACACAATGGCGGACATGGCACAACACACTGAGAGCTGAGGAAATGTTAACACACGCCTGTCAGTGATTAGCGGAGGGCGGGGCTACCGCAATATGATGTCATATTGCAGACAGGATCCAAACCGCTCATTTTTTGAGCCTGGTTTGGTTTTATAAAGACAAAAAAAAAAGACTGGATGGATTTTTATCATTCTAAGATGGCTGTGTACACACAATTCCAACACACATTTCTGTCCAAACAGCTTGTAAAAGTGGATTTTGCATAATAGGTGCCCTTTAAAAGTATTAATTTAGTTTAAAAAAAGAAGCTATTTAGCAGTATTTAGCAAAAGACTAATACAAAAGAAAGAACAAAATTGCCACAAAGCTTCTGCTTATAGTAGAAACAACATTTCAAATGCCACAAAAAGAAAAAAAAAAAAAAAACTCCTGAGAGCAGGAACGATGGTGATAAATTGGAGCCCCTGTTTGTCCTTTCTTTAGTCTCTCAGACGTCTCATTTCTTCCAACAGGAGCTCGTTATTAGATTTCACCTCCCCACCGGACAGGTTCTGTCCTGAATCCTGTTGCTCTGACCCTCTTCTCAGCCCACAGACACACAACAGGGACGAGGTGGCTGTCAGACTTCCCTCAGGCAGCAGAGCATGCAATTAACTGTCGATTGCTCCTGGAGCTCAGACCAAAGTCACACGGCACTCAAGCCAACACACAAACCTCTGCCATGTGCCCATTTCCTCAGAACAAATGTGCTCTTTGAAAAGGAAAATGCCTCTTGAACCAGAAACACAAGTCATGGAGTCCCACTGACCAAATCCAGACAGAATCAAATAAAACAGAAGCTTGGTTTGTGTAAAACGACAGCGCAGGGCTGGCCGGCGTGACCGTATATTACCTTAATGCACATTGTCTTAGTCTACATCAGTAATTCAACCAGACAACACGCATAAATGTGGAAATCCCATTATATACAGGGGAAAATAATGAAACACAAAGCCATAAACTCACCCTTGTTTATCGGAGTCGACCAGAATGCGCACCAATATTCCTGAAACAGCCACTAGGATGGGGTAGTGATCAACACTCTCCAGGCCTATGCGGAAAATAAAACGTGCTTTCATTACTGGTTCAGATAATGATTTTTTGCATTTTACTTCATAATAAAATTGTTTTTTTGTTTTGTTTTTTTGCTACAATACATGATATACAGCTACTGTGATTGTATATATATATATATATATATATATATATCTCTCAGAAATAAATAAAATGTTTTTGTTATTATACAGCTACTTTGTTTAATCATTCTGATTAAATTAGAGTTTGTAAAATTTGATCGAATCATCTCTGCAATTTCTATTGGTCTTGATAGAGGTGTGTGGATTACATTTCACTTGTAAATAAAAAGTCAATATTTTATTATATTTTTTATTATATTATTTTATGTTTATATATCTATAAAATATAACCATAAAACACAACACAATGAAGTGAAATATATTGCAAAAACAGGTAAAACTCATACAAAATCAGCAATACAGTACATTGTGCCCTATTTTTTACATATTATTTTACA